AGTAATATACAAGTCACCACATGGCAATGTTTAAAAGTTTATAAATAAGCTACATCATTCGTTGCAAAAATTGAATTAAGAAAATAAAATAATCTTTATCGTTGGAGACATAAACAATGATTGTTTACCCCAGCACTCGTCATCGGCTAGTTTAGATTTGTATAACCTTATCTCCAACAACTTTTATCAACTCCTCACGATTCCAACTCGAATTTCTTGTGATAAATCATCTCTTTTAAACCTCTTGATAACTAACTACCCAGATAAAATTAGATGTTGTGGTACAGCTTACAATGATTTATCTGATCATCTATCGACATTTTTTCAGTATAATTACCAGACAACCGCGAGCAAAAAATTCAACCCAATTAGTTTGAAAATATTTTACTCAACAAGTAGAATAAATAAACTCAATAGTTACTTAAACATGACCGATTGGACAGACCGGTTTAACTGTGATGATGCTAATCGGGCATTTGAATTATTTTTTAACATTTATAATCAAGCATTTAAATCATGTTGCCATATAGTTTGTAACAAAAAACTTGCCACATTGAATAACAACCATGGATAACCGCCGCACTCAAAAACTCTTCAAAATCTAAAAAACGTATCTACATTAAATTTTTGAAAAAACCAACTGCCGCCAACTTAGAAACTTTTAAAATATACAATAAACTATTTAATAAATGCAAAGTATAATTAAAAAAAGAATATTACCATTATAAGTTGTTAATATCTAAAAGCAATAGCCTGGAAACTTGGAAGATCCTAAATGAGATAATAAAAAAACCTAAAAATGCTCCAAATACAAATATTCAACTAACGGTAAACGACGCCACAATGGAAGATCCAAAAAACATTGCAGAATGTTTGAATGAATATTTTGCATCGGTAGGCAATATCAATGCTGATTGTTCTTCCAACCCCAAGCAATGGTACCACTATATGCCCAACAATATTTGTAATTCTTTCTTCTACATTGACGTCACGCCTGGTGAAATAATTGCGGCAGCCAAGTCGTTCAAAAAAAGTGTTCTTGGGGAAAAAATGGCATATAAATGAAAATCATGATTTCAACAATTGAGTCAATAGCACATCAACTATGTCATATTTTCAACACTTCAGTAAACCTTGGAATTTTTCCAGATCACTTTAAAATATCAAAAATTGTTTCCGTTCAAAAAGTTAAAAATGATTACAACCTCACAAATGTTAGACCTATTTCGTTACTTTCAGGATTCTCAAAAATTTTAGAAAAACTTATTCTTACTAAAATGCTGAGTTTTATTGCAAGGTACGAAATTTTGTGTAAATACCAGTTTGGTTTTAGAAAAAGTTACTCCACTAAACTAGCAATAATTGAATTGATAAAATATATCGGAGAAGTAGCAGAAAAAAAATGAATACACAGTTGGAGTATTCCTAGATTTGTCAAAGGCTTTCGATACTATAAACCACTGCATAAGGCTCAAAAAACTGGAAGTTTACGGTTTTCGTAATACAACTTTGCAATGGCTCAAAAGCTACTTGACAAATCGACAACAGTATGAAGTCATTTTATCTTGTCGTCCGGTCATTAGAGGTGTTCCCCAAGGAAGTATTTTGGGACCCCTTCTGTTTCTTCTATACATCAACGACCTCAGTAGCATTTTGTGCTATATGCAGATGATTTCAATATTTTCAGACACGGGTATAAAATTGATTCTTTGATTGAGGATGTCGGTAACCATATCAAGGTAGTTCTAAATTGGTTTGAAGTTAACAAACTCACAATAAATAAAACAAAATCCCAACTGATGGTATTTTGCCCCGTTCAATACCTTAACTATGAGGAGCCCTACAAAATCATAATCGATGACGTTTTAATAATCGAGACTAAAATTTGCAAGTTTCCAGGGATGTACCTAGATCAGAAATTAACATTTATACCTCATATTAAAAACGTATCCTCAAAGTTCGCCAGAGGCTTGGGTCTAATTAACAAATGTAAATTTTTCTACTAACAAAAGCACTCACAACGCTCTACGTCTCGTTGTGCCTACCGTATGTAAACTACTGCAATTTGGTGTGGGCTTCAACATACAAATCCAACACCAAACGAATTTCACAACTCATGAACAGAGCGTCAAAAATGTTATCAAGTCGTGCCAAAATTTCTATTAATTTCAACTATTATTTAAATTATTAATTTATTATTATTATTAATTTATTTATTGTTTTGTATATGTATGAGTGTTTGTATATATATATATATGTATATGTTTACTGATAATTCAATTATGTATGTATATATGTGTGTGTGTTTATATAAATACATTTTGGGTTTAACTTTTCACTAATAACCCATTTCTTCTAACAATTATAAAAGTGATAAAAAGTGGTCGGACTAGATAAACTTTTTTGGATTTTTTTTCTCGATCAACCTTATAATTTTCTTCTATTTATGTCATTATTTGTTGCATAAATTATTTATGATTATTGAATAAAAAAATTTGATTTGATATATAATAAAATTATATGTATCCATGGCTAAATCAGATATCAAAGAATGAGAAATGTGGGACGAAATAAATGCTATATTGAAACTTGTTGATCCATCAAAAGGCGATCCAAAAAATGTTTTGCAATATATTTATTCATCGAAATTTGTCGAATTATTTTTTAACCTTTTGATAGCTGTTCGGATACTTTTAACGTTACCAATCACATGCTAGCACCGAAAAAAAATTTTCAAAGTTGAAAATAATAAAATCATATCTTAGGTCTCAAATTTGCCAACTTTGGTTGGCCTAGATATATTATTGTGTTTTCAACATGGAATCCATGGTCTTCAAATATTCTAATTAACTTTCAAATAATTTCAAAGTTTTATAGTTCATAAATATGCTATTTTATTTGTCATAAAAACACTACAGTTTATTATTTTGTACAACCTTGATACAGTTAAAATGTAAACGCTCGTAAATCTGTTATTCATAGTTATAGTTCTGAATAATTACGGCTTGCTTGTGCGCATCTATCGTATTATCGGCTGCTGATTGTTATATATTGTTGATTTTCTATATGTGTATATTCCATATGTATGATGTGTAATCATCTTTTTTTTTCTTTTTTACAAATGTATGATATGTAATCGTCTTTTTTTTCTTTTGTTTTCACCAGTGTCAGAGTCGGAGATTTTTGCCGGAGTCGGAATATTTTGAGGAGCCGGAGTTTTAGACGATAATTATGTATAGATATGAAATCATCTTTAATACATCAAATAAACTCTACGTGAATGTGATGTGAATAAAATGTGAATAAAACAATAATAATAATAATGTGAATAAAATCAAATAATTTGTTTTCATGTTTTAAAACATAAATATAAAGTAATTTTACTTATAATGACAGTTTTTAAGTGTTTTATAAAGTATTTTTAATTGGTATTGATGATAAGTTAAAATTAGCATGTAAATATTTAAAAAAAAATAGTCTGTAAATAGTCTGATATTTTTAATCCGACTTTGACACTCTAGTTTTTACAATTCCTATATTTCAAATAAACTTCATTTACTAAGTAATGTTGACTTTTTTTATTTTGAAATAATTTTATCATCATCGATCACCAGCATATACGAACGTGTTTTTCTAAAGATTTCTAAATGTGTTTCTTGTTTATTTTCTAATAAATTAATCAAATTGAAACCACGTTCACAATTTGCACTAGACCATTGTCTTGCAATTTTTCACTTTCTATTGTTAATGATACCATATTCTTAAAATTGATTAATATTCTTTTTTCAATAAATTTAATATTGTCTATTAATGGATATGGATGATTTATCATTTAGTAATAAATACATGGACGACGCAGTAGCCTAATAATTAAGGTGGCTGGCATTGTTGATGCAGTAACCAGGTAGGAATTTAAAAAAACCCCGCCAACCACATGCAAAAGTGTAGAATGCGATGATTCACGTTTTTTTATAGACTGTGTTTGTTGCAATTATTATTAATGCGCTTCAGTTGCTTGCCGTGGCGGTATATATTTACATCATTAATATCATTATTATTATTAAATTTTTTTATTTTTCTTTAAAAAATTAGAATCTGATAGACACAGAATCTATAACAGCATGCAAGGCAATTGTATAAAATGGCAGCGAAAAAATAAATGAATAAATAAATAAATAACGGAGAAAAAAAAATGTTTAAACATGAAAAGTATTGAAAATAAAATAAAGTAATGGTTTAAAAAGGTAAATAAATAAAGTAATTTATTAATGGACTAAATAATGACTTAGTGAGTTAGTGATGTGATCGAAAAGAAAACTAGATTGAGTGAATGATAAATTTTTATTGAGTGCTATTATATTTAAGATGTCTTGTGATGAAGGACTTTTTCTGATACAATCAGTCAGTCAGTCAGTCAGTCAGTCAGTCAGTCAGTCAGTCAGTCAGTCAGTCAGTCAGTCAGTCAGTCAGTCAGTCAGTCAGTCAGTCAGTCAGTCAGTCAGTCAGTCAGTCAGTCAGTCAGTCAATCTTATAATAAATTTGAGGTTTTATTTTGTCGGTAGGCTTAGTAGCTTAGTAGGTTTAGCATTTTTATAAATAATTTGTCAGATTGGCCAATCAAATAGCCAAACTTTTTTTATAATATTGCTAGTAATGATAGCTGTTAATGATCGAGTCGAGAAGGATCTCAATGAGCACCAGGTCAAAGAACTTAACTGAATGAAATGCAAATCAATTACATAAAAACTGAATTAAATAAAATATTTAAAAATATATGGAACTTATTAAAATGTCAAAATAAGATAACTGTAAGATTTTAAAGAATTTGTAATCAAATAACTTATAGAATTTTAAAATTCAATAAAATAACTTGATACTGATAAATAACTGCTTGTAACCTAAGTATATTCTTGTAACTTGCGTTCTCAAAAGTTAAGCGCACAACAATTTGTATTTGTATCTTCTCTCAAATCAACGCTTCTTCCTTCCTTTTATCGTTAGATTTATCGAAGATGGTTGGTTCGGCAATCTTTCGTCATCTTATAATATCCACCATTATATTCTTTTTCTTTTTATATTAATTTAACATCAAAATTTTTTCAGTCACATAGAAAGTTTTCAGCACCGAGACATGGTTCTCTTGGATTTTTGCCCAAAAAGCGTAGTAGACGTCATCGTGGAAAGGTTAAGGCTTTTCCTAAAGACGACAAGTCTAAACCAGTACATTTAACAGCGTTTTTGGGATACAAGGCCGGGATGACCCACGTCGTGCGGGAAGTTGACAGACCTGGATCAAGTTAGTGCAAAATATTTATTGTTAAAAATGCAGTCCTAGCACAATACAACGTAAACGTGATTATAACATGACCATGAAATGAATTTTTTTGCAAAATATTAAAATTAAAAGGTTAATCTTGTTATCAGTAAACTAAAAACGTATGTACGTGTATATCATGCCACGTAGACTCATCAAAACATTGTAAAATAGACCAATAATTAAATCTAAATAAATATGCAAAATTAGAGACCACAAATGAAACGATGTTAATTTTTTACTTGCACAATGTGTCATAGTTTATTTATCTTACTATCAGAGCATCAGTCAAAACATCCAATTCTCACTTAGTCCCTTAAAAAATTCAGACTTTGGGTAAAAATTCTTTACTCTTGAAAAAAATTTAGCTTTTGTATCATAATTTCAAAAATACTTTAAAAAGCACTTAAAATCAATCAATGTTTTTCTAAGTAAAATAACTGTATTTTAATTTTTTTAAACATTTAAAAAAATTTCAACTTTTGGAACTCAGTTTCATTAGAACTGAAAAGAAAATATTTAAAAAAAACGCTTAAGATCTGTCAATGTAATTGTTTTTCTCAGTAAAATTGTTATATTTTTATATTTTAAAACTAACTGAAAAAATATGTTTATTTAGCTGATTTGTGAAATCGTCGGAATGTGATTAGATAAGTTTCTAAGACGGTTTCTTATGAACAAATTTGGCAAAATAAAATATTCTAAAATAATGTCACAATGAAATTTCATTGTTTAAGTAGTATAACCATTTTGGCTCTCGGGGCAGTCACCCTTTTTTGGTATGCCACTGGCCTCGTGGGCTGCATGATATATTTTAGTGGGCCATAATTCATAATATTTGAAGCAAAGATAATTTTATCTCGTTAAGTCCATCCTATTCATGTTACTGTTTTGAATTGAATTGCTTTGAAGGCATAACACCCCAAAAATTGAAACAAAGGAAACAAAACTTGGTATTTGTTTGAGTGTATATATGTACTTTTTTATTGTATCATTATGTATGCACATTTGTGAATTATTTTATCACATTTATAAAAATATTTGGCTAGTGGTAATTATACATTGAACATGTGCGATGTTTCACGCTTTTTGGTGGTCATTAAAACTGGGAATTTGCAAAATGATATATCAGTCATTTACCGCCTGTTTACATTGGTATTTATTTTGACAATTATAGCTGTCAACTTCCCTACTGTTTTTTTCATTACCTTATTAAAAATAAATTTCCTCTCTAATTTTGTTTTTGACATGATTCATAGGCATACACAGTGCATTTAAAGATTTACTGTAAATTTTGTAAGTAATAAATGAAAAGTAGCAAAAAAATAGTTACTGCTACTTCTTGTCAAACTATTATATAAAAAGTGATTTAGAAATATTTTTCTCTTATTCAATTAACTTTTTGGAATAGGAATTTTAAGGGATGGGGAATCACTGTTTGTGATATGGGAATAATGGATAAGAATGGGGAAAACGACATATATGAGTAAAAATATAAAAATTGAATTTAATCATTGACAGTTATCTGTGTAACTCAACGTGTGTTCGTATGCGTTAACCGATAATGTAACAATAAATGCACATGCCCACACTTGATATCATTAGAAATTTTTGACTCAAAAATAGTGGTAGCTGTAGCTTTTATTTTAGCTTTAAAAGTAGCACCCTACCGAAATTGCTTCGGCACAATTAATGTAGCTGCACTAACGCTACTGAAAACGTAGTGGCTCTACAATGCTATGTTTCTCAGAAGCAAATTCAATTTACCCCTGAGTTAATAGATAAGAAAAAATTTCTAAAATCAATTATCACTTATGAGCACAAAAACATGCTATGATAAACAAATCTAACCAAGATTTAGATGTCTTTATGCTAATAACATTGACAAGTTATCTGGCACCAAAAGTATAAATCTAACCTTTTTCTGAAATTTTTGTAAATCTTTGATGACAACAGATAATGACAGTTGCAAAAATTTTGTATCATTTTACCTGTTTTGCAATTATTTTCTTCAATCTAATAATGTGTCCATTCATAATTTAGCTAATTTTATGTTTTGGTTTTTTTATTAAAGAGGTCCACAAAAAAGAAGTTGTAGAGGCAGTAACAATTTTAGAAACTCCGCCAATGATTGTTGTTGGTATTGTTGGATATATAGAAACCCCAAAAGGATTGCGAACTTTTAAAACAGTTTGGGCTGAACATCTTGGTGATGAATGCAAAAGAAGATTTTATAAAAATTGGTTTGTCAAATGTGTTGAATGTAATTTTAAAAGTTAAATTAACAGAAATTTGGTTTGTTTACTGCTTTTGCTGCTACTTGCTAAGCCAGCTGGGATGAGATATCCCTGCCCGCTGACATTTTTCAAATAATGTCATGGCTAAATGGGGACAGCAGTGATGGTGTTCATTTCCTCTCATCAGCTGATTGATGACGAGTGGCACCAGCATGTTAACTCATCCGAATCTTTTTATTTAAGGTACAGATCAAAGAAGAAGGCTTTTACTAAAGCTTCACAAAAGTGGGCTGATGAAACAGGGAAAAAGGAAATTGATAAGGATTTCAACAAAATTAAGAAGTACTGCACTGTTGTTAGAGTGCTTGCACACACTCAGGTCTTTTCAAATTTTTCAAAATTAATGTGATAATTCAATATTGCTAGCATTGTTTAATAGTTTTTGTAATAAATCTAATTGCAGATGAAGTTAATGAATAGAAGGCAAAAAAAGGCTCATATTATGGAGATTCAATTAAATGGTGGTAGCATACCCCAGAAAGTGGACTGGGCTCGTCAACACATGGAAAAAGCGGTGCCTGTCAAACAGGTGTTTGATGTAGATGAAATGGTTGACGTAATTGGAGTTACAAAAGGCAAAGGATTTAAAGGTGTAACCTCGCGTTGGCATACAAGAAAATTGCAAAGAAAAACCCATAAAGGCCTTCGTAAAGTGGCCTGTATTGGTGCATGGCATCCTTCTAGAGTATCGTTTTCAGTTGCTAGGGCTGGACAAAAAGGTTATCATCACAGAACTGAAATAAATAAAAAAATTTACAGGATTGGCACTGTAAGTTATTCTCTTTATTTTCATGTTTTCTTTGTCTAACATTGATTGAGTTTTTAAATAGGGAATCCACAAAGAAGGAGATAAATTAATAAAAAATAATGCATCGACTGAGCATGATTTGACTGAAAAGAGTATCACCCCAATGGGAGGGTTTCCTCATTATGGAGAAGTTAATCAGGACTTTGTCATGCTTAGGGGCTGTTGCATGGGGCCCAAAAAAAGAGTTATTACAATCAGAAAGGTTGTTTGTTAATATATGTAATATTAATGCATGCTTGGTGTTGTAGTTGTTTATAAATGATTAAAACATAGAAAATAGGCTACTTTGGTCCCGCAAAATTCTGACTGGCAAAAATCTGGTCTATCATTGGGTGTCAGTTGATTATGAAAATTACATTTGGGACCCAAATTTGACAATACTGCTGATTGATTTTTTCCTATTACTGAATTCAACAAGTATTATAAGGGTGATAATTTTATTTCATTTTTTTTTCAGTCTCTTTTGATTCAGACAAAACGAAAAGCGTTAGAAAAGGTGAACTTGAAGTTCATTGATACTTCTAGCAAGTTTGGACATGGAAGATTCCAAACCCATGAAGAGAAGAAATCTTTCATGGTACTTTTATATAGTTTTTTTCACACTTAGATGAAATTAATTTTTTTTTTTTTTGTTTGCAGGGCGTTCTTAAAAAAGATAACAAACAGAATTAAACTGGCACTTAAATGATATTGTGTTCGCAGCAATGTAATATATCACAAAATATTATATTAAATGTGTGGATATATTTCACGCTGCAATCAGTTATCAAGTGTTGTCTTTTTTTAACTGTCTAATAGAGCTTTGTTGCTGTGTTTTGCTCGGATGTGGAGAGTTGTTTTTTGGAATTTTGTTGACTGGGAGAGATGCGTGAATAACTTCGATCGTAAATTTATGATTTCGCGGTATAGGGTGCCATTTTTAAGCTTGAAATGAGATTCTTGGTTCCGTCTAAGCTCGGTGATACGGTGCCGGATTTGGAAGATTTTTGGCGGAATTCAAACAACGTCTATATGCGCATGGGCTCCGAAATGGTTTTACTATCTTAGAGTTTATTGGAGGCTCTCAGCCCTGGGAGAAAACCGCACTGAGTTCGCTGGCGGAAGCCGGGGGTCGGCTTTGCCGCATGATCACGCACATTTAAACTTCCATTCCTCACTACTGGGCCGATTAGGCCAGTACCCAGAGATGGGCAGTAATGTAATTCAAGTAATGAGATTACGTAATTCAAATTACATTTGTAATTAGTATCGAAATTACTTTTTAAGTAATTGCTAATTTGTCATTTAGTAATTTCATCCTTCAGGTAATTTAGTAATTCAAATTACATTTCGACTAATAAAGTTTATCTGAGTGAATAGATATACTTACACAAATTATTATATTGAAATTTTTTTCTTGAAATTCTAAAAATTTACTTGCTTAAAAATTTCAATTGCTACTTTGAAGTTTTATGGCCATATAGCCGCATCAAAGAGGTGAACTGATTATTGACGTTTCTGTTTTCTTTCTTTCCTTCTTCATTGAACGATTGAGCAAAATGTTGATCGAATGAAAGTAAATTAGGAAAAGAATACGAAAATGACATCAAAGACTATGCGAAATCAAAAGCAGTGGTGAATAGTGTCTTTCTTCAGTCAATCGTTAAATGATTGAACAGATTGTTGATAGAAAGAAAGTAACTTAAAATTGAATATAAAAATGACGTCAGAATATCAGCGCAAAGAATAATCAATGTTTAAATAACTAATAAATAACTTTTTTTCTTCATTTATTCAAAACTGGTTTCATGTAATTTAATTTCATGTAATTTAAAATTTGTAGTAGTTAGTAATTTGGCTCTTTTATTAAATGTAATTTGTGTCGGAATTACAATATTTAGAGTAATTTGTATCGAAATTACAGTGTAGTGTGTAATTTACCCATCTCTGCCAGTACCCTCATGTCTATTGACAATACTTTTTCCCATGCGAGCTTGGGCCTGCCACTTTTTCGTATGCCGCCAGTTCTTTTACTTTTTTTAAATTGCCCTCATTTGCTTTCTTCCCCGCATTCTCCACATGGTCGATCTGACAATTCATCTAACCATGACCCTTTGTTTATTATCATCACTTTGACCCTTCCTCACCGTTTCTATTCTCTGCCTTCTTAAAGTTTTCAGCCGTCAAAGCCCAAGTTTCGCACCCATACAACAGGCAACTTTACTTTTTGCTTTCTATACCTCAACCTCTGGTATACAACCAGAACTGAATTTTTCTAAATTTTCTCCATCCTACTTTTGTTCTATTCTTGACACCCTTCTCACTTAGTATATCACCTAGATAACAAAAAGACCATACTTTTTCAAATCCCAAATTTTCTAGGTGCCCAGTATCACCATTTCAACTTATATCGTTTACATACATATTCCTTGCTTTTTTGAGGTCTCCTTTCAAACCACTGCATCATTTAAGTCCATTTAGCAACGTGCTGAATATATAATACAATACCAAAATTATTTATTTTCTTACATCATTTCCACTTGCAATTTCCATATTGTTATTAAACTTTTTCGAAAATTTAATTTGAACAGAGCGTAAATTTCTTTTTTCATCAAATTGGAAATAATTGAGTCTATATTAACGGATTTATCATTAAGCAATAAAAACATGGATGGCGCATCGCCGTAATGATAAAGATTACGGTGTCTGGAATTGTTGATGCAGTGGCCAGTAGAGCCCTGCGCGGTTGGAATTTTCAAAAACCGCAACATTTGAAACCGCAACCACAGCGCCGAAAACCGCACAGCAACCGCAGCGCCGAAAACCGCCCCGCAAGAAATGAAAAACAACATTAATGGTTTTATTGACATTATAAATCACAACTATCTACATCCAAATCACTGTTACTCTTAATAAATAACATTTTGTCAATTTTGTATGGATTTAAACTGGACCGTCTCTTTTGCAGTGTATAATTGAGAGATGATCCTACCCTTTCTGACGAAACACTCGAAACTGGGATGCTGAACAGAAAAAAGGAAACTTCTCTTAGTTTGAAATATTTAATATGACTGGACCAATAATAAACAGCATCCACGTGAGGAGTCTCTTCTGCAATGTAGCTATCCAGTTCATTTATTTCCGTGTTCCGATCTTGTTTTAACACACATTTGGCTTCACATTTGTTACAACAGATAAATGATGTAGCCACGTTTTTAAAATAAATTCTGCTAAAATTTTTCCAAATTTCACTTTTAGAATTTTCTTGCGCTTTTACAAAAACATTTTTGCTTTTGGACAGCATCAATTTAATCAAAAATTCTTTATCAATTACATCTACCTGTGGATCTACTTCAACATTTTTTACCTCGGACATTTTTATAAAATAATCGATAATAAACCACGCCGTAAATAAAATAACTACTTCTTTCAAAGTAAACAGGAAAAAGAAAATGGTCGCTTCAACGGCTTCTAAAGATATTGTCAGAATTATGAAATAATACTGACTAAAAATACTTCAAAATTTTTAACGCAAAATTTATTCACTCGATATTTATTCACTCATGGTGCAAGTTAATTTGCTCGATAGGTGACGACGATTTTTTTTGTTTTGCAATTTAGATGACGTCATAAATTATTACAAATTATTTTAAAATTTAATTAGTAGTTTTTTGGATTAATTGGACATGGAAATTTTTATGGAAAAAGGAAGAAAATTTAATTAGTAGTTTTTTTTATTAATTGGACATACCTTGGAAATTTTTATGTTGTAGAACACCCGAAACAAAATCTAATTTTGCTTTGATAAGGAAGGGTGTGGAAGCGCAGAGAAGACTGGGTTGACTAGTTAGGCAGCTTCGAATAATCGGTGCCTACTCTGGTCCCTAATAGACTTAATGCGTGATTCTATGCTTATTGGCATAATTTCAGAAACGTCTTGAGTTCTCAAAAGTGGATTTGGTACGAGACTCTATGCTCGTTGGCATAGTTTCGCACGCGTACTAAAGTCACACAATTTGTTTCCAGTGTTGTTCTGACTCTTGTTGTTTTGTGTTGGTTGTGCGAAAGCCGATCAGACTCGACGGCCCAGTGAAAACAGGCCAAGGTTGTGCGAAAGCCGACCGACCGACCGACTGACTGACAGGCCCAGTGAAAACAGGCCTTGGATTCTGTGAAAACCAATCCGCCTCGCTGTTTTGTTTCTTGTGCTATTTGTCGACCTAGGGTTCTTTGCTGGATTCTATACTCATTGGTATAGTTTCACACGCAGCTTGCAATTTCCATAGGCTCCGATTTTTCTAATTTTTCCGCATTCATTTTATTTATTTCTTGGAGTTGTATCGACATCACCATCGGTTACACACGTCGAGGTTGTACGATTAAACGGCAACAAACACATCCCAAGTCGAAGACCCAACAAGAAGAAGTTCTAATTCCTGTACTCCAGTTTGTTCATTGACATTTTACATTATTATAGAGTTCATTTAGTTCAATTCCCTTTCATTTACTTCCGTCGATTAATAAAATTGTTATCGAATATTTTTCTTTACTCAGTAAAATCATATAATTCGAAAAAGCCCAGTGCCACACAGGACTGGTCGAACTCACGATAAAAATATACACAAAAATTATTTTCGGACCATAAAAAAAATTCCCTGAGAAAGATAGAGGAGGAGATTGCCTCAACACACCAGTTATAATTCATTTAGAAAATTTCCGACAATATTAAGATTTTTCAAAGACACTATATATAAAAATTATTACAATTATTACAATTTTTAAAATGTTATGGACGAACAAAAATATTTAACAAAATTTTTGCGGTCACCGCGGTTTTGATGAAAAAACCGCGCCGCGGAAAAACCGCACATTTCAAAACCGCGAACGCGTAAAACAGCATGATTTATGTACCGCAACCGCAAAATACCGTGGTGGCTCTAGTGGCCAGGTTCGAGTGTAAAGTGTGGGACAATCACATGTAAAAGTGTGGGATAGGATGTAGTGCGATGATTCACGTGTATCTATAGACTGCGTTTGTTGCAATTATAAATGAACTTCATTTGCTTGCCGTGGCGTTATATTAAATGACATTATTATTATTATTGTTGCTATTATTATTATTTATTTTTTATTATTCTTTAAAAATATCAGAATCTGCAAACGCAGAATCTATTACAGCATGCAAGGCAATTGTATAAAATGGTGGCGAAATAAATAAATAACGGAGAAAAAAATGTTTAAACATGAAAAGTATTGAAAATAAAATAAAGTAATATAGTAATGGTATAAAAAGGCATGTAAATAAAGTAATTTATTAATAGACTAAATAATGACTTAGCGAAGTGGTGGAAAAGAAAAAAGAAAACTAGATTGGGCAAATGATAAAGTTTTATTGAGTGCTATTATATTTAAGATGTCTTGTAATGAAGGTCTTTTACTGATAAGTTGATTGAGTAGCGACTTGATAGTAATGCTTGCTTGACGAGGGTTGTGTAGTAGTTTCGATCGGCGGTAGTAGAGGATGGACAACGTGGTTGTTGTTATTTTCTACTTTCTATAAATGACATATTTCTCACAGAAATATTGTCAACAGCGTAATTTTATTCACATCGATCTAACGAGATGAACAAAGCAAACAAGCAATAATAGGAAACATGTTTGAAGGAAGAAAGTTTAGCTTTTCAATGAAATGAAGCTGGCTGGGCTAATGTAGGAAATTTTTGTATGGAAAGTCAATGTAAATAAATACATTTTAAAGTGTGCGCTCCGGGGGAGGCCTATCAAACGCGACAATCTCAAATCAGTTTGGCTATACAAGACCAGAAATAAGATACAACTGCTTAAATGCAAATGCATGAAATAATCAATTTAAAAGTAATCAAAACAAATAAATTATTTAAGAAATGAATAAATTTTTATAAATAAACTATAAAATGTAAAAATTGGAAAAATTTTATGAACAATTAATTGTTCATCAAATTCCTTTAAACTACGGAAACTAAAGAATGAGGCCGGACTTTAAAGCACATTGAAAATGTGCGCGTGTTCATTCGTGGGCTATTTATAGGTGTACATTAATATATAACGTACATAGGATGTCCCATATACTTTAAAATACAAATCTGATTCTAGGAATGCACTACGTACCGAGGGGAGGGGCCACTCCGGGCCTCCGATTCAATTTTATAATAATAATTTCATTAATAGGTTTATTGATATAATTTTATGCTTTCATTTTTTTATTATATTTATTTATACTTAATATTTATGCACCCCAATTTCCAAAGATTCAACTAGCAAAATAAACTAGTGGTTTTAGTCCTGGGTGTTAAATGGATATGGGATGGATCTAAGAAATAAAAATTCGTCATATTCGAATCTAAATGATGAATTGAATGATGATATTGATGAAATGATGATGATCTTAATCCGGATCCAATGTGCATGCGGGCTAGTTAATTGAATATATTTCAACTCACGTTCCATCACATTCGATAAAGAAACTAAATTAATTTTAATTGTAAATTAAAACCAAAAAAATATAGTTTAAACACTGATGCATTAAATAAAAAAATTCTTATTCTCGTTAGTGTTCATGGTGATGCGTATAGGTCCTATTTCAATTATAATCATCGTCAGCGCTCATCTAAGGATATTTCAAAGTGTTACAATTCTCTGTTTTATTTTGCTTAGTCCTGTCCGTTTATTATGTCTTTGTTCTGTTCATTCTCTTTGCTTGTAAAGCCTTTCAATATTTTTTTGGTCGGTTATGATGTTGTTTTTCTTTGCTGCTTGTTAATTTGCTGTCTACTTTTGTCAATGAAGATGGTTTCACTGATTTTTAGAGATATTATTTCTTTTTTCCTTTTTGATTTTGTTTCGTCGACTTACTCCAAGATTCAAGGCATGATCCAGCCAACATTTTTTAAGTTGTGTCAAGTGAAGATGATTTCCATATTTATGAAGAAATAGTTGATATCCAAAACAATTCAAACCATATCTGAAATACTTTCTTGTGATCAGGATATAACTTGCCTCTGACATTGTTTACATTTATGACACGAATTCTTGGTTTGACAAGGTTATATCCAGTCAGAAGCATCTGCGCCTGCGAAATTGTTTTTGCTTATGTAAAAGACTCTTTGTATCCAATTTTCGGACTGTGCAATAGGCAACCTACAGAGTACAAGAGGTTTGGCTTGAAAAAAGCTAGCAAGTGTGATTGGATAAGCAACTATTGCTTATTAACCATGATAGTCATTCGGCAAAACTAAATATTGATGCCATTGATTGGACTACAAACGATGACATCTGGAGAGTTCCAATTGATGAGTGGGATACAAATTTTGCCAAAGGCATGCGTCATGCCTCATTTGGTGGCAGATAAATCTGAGGTTTTTTTGGTTGAATTGCGAGAAAGTGACTTTGTCCCCAAGTTCAGCAACATGTGAAAGAGCTTTTTCAGCTGGTGGACAGTTTGTCAATGTTAAAAGGAAAAAAATAAAGCCAGATGTTTTTGACAATCTCTTATTTATAAAGATTAACCGTGATAAAATGGCAACAAAAAATGGGTTCTTTCGAAAAATAAAAGTGAAGTTGATGATGAATCTGATGAAGATAATACAAGTAGTACAAGAATAAATTAAAATGTCGAGCCTAGGCTGATACATCAAAAATGACATAATTTTTTAAATTTTTTGTTCAAGCATTTAATTTATTGTCTATTTTTTTACTTTTTGTCAGTAAAACTTGTGTTTCATTGTCAGTTAAACGGTGCTTGTTAAACAGGTTTTGATTTTAGAAAACTTTTCAATCTCTTTTGTTCTTTTAAATATTCATAATTTTTTTCTGAAAGTTGAAACGTGATCTCGTTATTGTATTATTATCGTTATTTTTTGTGGCGTCTCGTTTCATTTTATTTACAAAACAAAGATGCTTACAGTGTACCATAATTCCTTTATTAAACGCGTGCTGTTCTGGTTAAACAGCTTTATGAGCCTTGGAACATTTTTTTAAGTATTTGTCTTTGGGAAAATCATGTTTGGAATGTTAATAAATACATTTAAAACTCGATCTTATCTATAACATAACATCTCTTAGCGGCGGTGCTTTGTCTTCTTTTAAATTTTTAAATTAAGCAGTGCTTTCGAAATCTTTTAAAATGCCGAATGATAAACACTTTATACACTGCTGTAGCCTTGGGGCAGGGTTTAAAATACTGTAAGAAATACTAATACATTTTAAGATTTTCATTTACATCTTAAATAATGGAAATAGTTAATCAAGCATTTAACAAAAATTGAAAACTGATTGAACAAAAAAATAATAAGAAAACGTAAGAAGTCTAAATTTTAAAAAACTAAATCGGTATATGAA